AAACACTGCTCTAGGTCCTACACCCTAGGACCTGACAATAACATGCTACAAGCATAATGGCAATTGGAGTTTAAATTGTTGGTATACTTACTGATAAATGATTATCATCATATATGAGTTATGATTACATACGTTGAYGAGTTCATTTTTTGRAAATTGATTTCCATTCGCTGTTTACATGAATCTTACAACAGTAGGTTGAATATAAACGTTTTCTGAGAAATCAATGAAATAGTAGATTAACAAGACTTRCTTTTTGATGACTGTTATCTACGAACACTTCTCAAATTGGACGAAATAATGTACACATACRTTGTGTCGTTGCAAGTACGAGGCATGTTTCATCATTATTAATTACTACCCATATTGGCATCTATGCCCTGTGGCCACGGATATTTAATAGAAACAAATCGTAAGCATTAAGTCATTAAATGTCTATACATACCTATACTAGAAAAACTCAAAATTCGTCGAAATATTTTTAAAATGTCATCAAGTAGCCAGTAGGTGCCGAACCAGAACATGCTAATATAAAATTAAAAACATTTGGAGAAGAAAATATGAATTGTTAAGCATCTATTCGGAAATTTGAATTTGTGTTACTCTGAAAAAACAAAATCGATTTTGTAAAAAAATGCACAAAATGTATACATTCATTGATCCATATTCCATTCAATATCTAAAATAATGATTTGTAAATTTTAAAAACCAAATAAWTATTTGGTATGGACAACTGGAGTACTGAACAAGTATGAGTCGTATAAATCAGGTGTCATGAGAGTYATAGAGCAATGGAAYATAGCCTCAATGCCTCATAAGAATGTGAGGTGACAAATTAATTTTATGCCAACCGAGCATTTCCAAACTGCGCACAATTGTCAGGCGTACCTACCCTTAAGTTCATGATGCGACAATTGATTATGGGCAGATTCAATGTCTTAATATCTAATTGACAATTGTGTAWTATTTTAGAATTTAGAATGATCAGATAGGAATAAAACAATTATAATCAAACTGTTATTTTGATATTTAATTTCAGATGGATTCCATCATATTACCTCTTAAGAAACTTTGTCACTGATGGATTATGATTTTAGTGTATCTTAAAGATTCCAGTATTCCACAGARTTATACTGAAACATTTGCTGTATGGGTCAATGGTCATAGGTTATATATTACTGCAAACATTACTCATTTGCAATGAAAAAGCTTAAACAGTTCAAGTTTAGTTTTAATTTTGATTTTAGGGTTAACTTTAAGGTTGATATTTCAATATTGGGATCTCTATGTACTACTTAAAGCTTACAGGGAATAATAACTTGATTTTAATTCATTATAATAATCGTAATTAAAAAAAATGTAATATTATGAAGTTAAAAATAAATAAATCATAATATACATATTATACTGTTAACAATGAAAAATGTTCAAAGGAACAGTTTACTTGCAAAAATTTATTCATAAAGTTTAATAATATATTTTCTAGACAATATTTTATGAATAAAGCCAAAAGACTATCACACAAAATTCACCAATGATGGATGAACAAAGTGAATATAAATATGTTTTCATAATCAAATATCTAAGTACAATTTAACATTAATTCTTTATTTAATATGGAAAACACAGCAAAAAAAAAATTCATAACACTATGTTCATTTTATATAACCGATCAAACAATATTGATGTTTATAGATGAATTTCTAGTATTTAGGAGCTGGACTGACTGGAGGTTCTGTGCTGGTAGAATAAAACTAAAACAAATAAAACAATATATTTAGTTATGAATTAAATATTTAATTGAATGTTAAATATACCACAGCACCAGTAGTGTATGTTAGAATGCACAATTCACAGCAGCACCGTCAAAAGGCAATAGAATTTTAATTTTTTTTCATTTAATTGAATAATTACAATAATTTTAACCATTTATGTTTAGAATAAAAATATGATTTTATCTAAAAATTAAATAAATAATGATGTTTACTTTTTAAATTCCTAGTAATTTTTATATAATATAGTATTAACATTTATAATTGATAAAATAATTTTATGAATAATTCACAAAATATACTATATATTACTGAGATACAGTAAACATAAAAAAGAAAATATTGAAAGCCTTGAATAATGAAATARAAAAAATATCATTAAACAAAATATTGATACCCGTGGATGACTAAAACATAAATCCATAATATACATTTTTAGGCTGCAGTTAGCTATACTAAAAATAATCAACATTGTTGAAATCATCGCTGTTTCTCATTTTTAATGCTTTGATTAAAAATGAAATTATCAAGTAGAATTACGCTTAAAAGGACAACATAACATATCCACACATTGTGTTGTCTTTGTCTTACAAGTGCATAACATAGCAAATTTACACTCAGCAGATCACATTTAGCTTCTATAGTTTAAAATTTAAAGTGAATTGATCTCTTATATAACTTTAAGGTAAGAACATTATCTATATTCATATGTTGGGTTTTTACAATAATGCAATTTTTAGCAAGTTTGGTGTATATAAAATAATGTGAATGTAAGAGAAAAATGTTTGTTAAATTCATATTTGTATTTAGATTATTAATAATTAGTTTGTTTAGATATTATAAAAACCGCTTGTAAAATTCATCAATCAATCAATCAAAAATTCCACAGATCCAAGTTATAGATAATGTCTAGTTAGATCAATCAAGGGTTAAAGGTAAGTATATACTTTTATTTATGACACTATATTACCAAAACAAAAAATTAACATACTTTGTAAGTTTTTTCTTTATATGMTTCCCATGGCTCTTGATTTTTCTTTGGGTGCCATGTTACTTCTGGGTTTTTCATTGCCAATCGAGTCAGATAGAAAGCAGCACCACTCATACCAACACCCAGACAAAAGAATAATGGGATTAACTGTGAAAAATAAATAACAGTTAAGTGCTAATGAATAAACTATGTATTTGACCTTCGAATACCTACACACAACATTGGAGTATTATAAGTAAATATTATATTGAACCAAAATTAAATTAAATACTTACCGACTTGTGTTTTTTCAAGCTCTCTATTGACATTCCTGGCATAACCATTTTGAATTTTTTGTTAATACTCTAAAGTTATAAAATAATTAATAATCTTAAAAAATTCCAATTAACAACTAACGTGAGTGCCTAAACGTAAAACGAGAAGGCGTGAAATGTCAAATGAGCGAAATAAATTTTACGTATCCCCTATATTCGTCTATGAAGCCTTAGCCTTAGCATTGGTGCATTATATTTTATAAAGAAAATCAAGCAATAGAGTAAGATAACAGATGACACTGCAGTGTAGCCAAATGTACCATACTGTTGTCCTTAAATTATTGTAACCTAATTGACAATAATATTATTTAATTTAAATACAAACCACATTACCCCTTCAAGCAAAATTTGTCCTCTCTACCACTCTTGTCTCTTAAATTACCAATTACCATAAAGGCACAAATTTACCGTCGATTAAAAATAAACTGGTCTAGAATTCTCCTAAAATAAGGGGAAAAAACTTCCGAGGTTCTGTTAAGGAACGGTCTCCTCTTCACATTATTCATGTTTGTATATTTTCTATGGTATCCTTATTACTTATTGTTTTTTATTGTAAACAGATTGACTATATTTAAAATAAAAAAATTTAAAAAAATTAAATTCTCTGCACGTAAACCGCATCCGAATCCTTTTGCCACACTCTTGAAGTTCGATAATATACTAAATCGGTGTAAAAAAAATGCACTAGGATGTTTTCAGACTCTATCATTGACATGGTTCGTTATCCCGAGATGATGTAGGATAATCTTAAATCGGCTTGGCAGAGCGAATTTTTAGGCTATTATCTGATGCAAGATGCTTCTCTCCACATTTCGTCCATCCGTACACAATCCTATTTCTAATGTCATTCTAAAAGGCCAAAACCGTGATTAATATTTATCTCTGATCTTAAACACTAAAATATATTTACCTCACACACACAACATGATCCTTCATCTCTTCATTATCGGAAAAGAATGCGTTAATTTTATATGATCAAGAAACGGACTTACTAATCTCTTATTTTTTATGAAAGTAAACACTTTTGGTTCGTTTGTTGACAAGTTAACTTATATAGACCATAMTTAGGTTTATCAMTAATATTTTATTTACACGCATTATAGAAGAAAATTTGAATTTGTTACATTTATTAGAAAAATGGCGAAGTGCTATAAAAATAAAGAATTTTCCTTAATTTGTAGTTTGTAATGGTAAAATGTATTATAATCATTAATTATACTCAACAAATTTAACATCTGTGTATTTTACTAGAGTTATTTTGACAATAGTTCTAATTATAAAAATATATAGTTACTTACYGTTTATTTTTAAGTATATTAAACATTTATATTATGTACTGTACCTGTACGTCTGTAAAAGACATATGTGATATCTTCCTATTTTAAAACTTTTTCAATATGTCCTATGTTAAATACTAAATATTATATAGTTAATATTAGTCTTAATTCTTTAAATCTGTATTCTGTCATGATAATATATATTCTATAGGCTATAGCCCTATAGGTACTTTACAACTTACTGCTCATAAGTCGTTTCAAAAAAAAATGTTTAAGTATTTATAAAAAATATTTATGATGTATACAAAAACAAAACRAATACAATAATTTAATTTACTAATATCAAAACAAAATGCTGTTCTGAATTTTATTATATTAACATTAAAATATTTTGAGAGATATCTAATATTTTGTAATCTTGTCAACAGTTATTTACCCGCAAATCAAATTCCTGATTTGGCCACTGCCACTGAGGAGTAGTGATAGTATAGACCGATGATTTTGTCTATAATTCTATATACTACCATTTGCATACGTCCCATTGTAATTAGTTCAAGGGTGTTTAACTAGAATGTTATTTGTTAATATTCCAACTTRGCTGTAGAATAATTTGGGAAAGAAGTCTTGTTATCAAAGTARCAAGTAATCTTCAGTTATTTTTTTTTCAGAGCATGAAGATGCATTYATTATACCAGGCACAAAACTACAAAAGTAATAATGAATGTATTTCTAAGCATTTTAATAGTGAATACAATTCTTAGTTTTTCAAGATCACAACATTTAATCTACAGGGTAATTCATGGAGCGTAAAACACTCATTATTTCCAWAAGTGTAAATGTTTTTGAAAATATAATTTTACATAGCTTCAAGTCGTTTACAAAACCATGTTTTTATTAAAAAATTATATTTTTAACATTTTTTTATCCCTATAATTTTTTWAATTTTTTACTYTTTTGAATAACACTATGTAGTTTTAATTTGATATTCCAAAACAGAATATTTTTCTAAGTATTTCGATACATAAAAATTGAATTTAGGGCAAATAGTTTATGTGTTATAAATATTTAAAGTTTGTATGAGCGGAGTAGTGGACAAATATGTCGCGGAGTAACCCCGTACCACTCTACTACGCTCATCTAAACTTTAAATACCTATATCTCGTAAACTACTYGCCCTAAATTCAATTTTTATATATCAAATTACTTAGAAAAATATTCTGTTTTGGAATATCAAATTAAAACACTACATGTTGTCATT